CGTATTCATACGCAATCGATTAATGATACTGCAGTGTGAATGAACCTGTGGTTATTAGTCATTTTGTCCGATAATAATTAACGAAATCGGATCTATTTGTATTAATCATCGGCTAGAAACTAGGAGAATTTTATTTTTATACGTTGACCACGTGTGTGGTGAATGGGACGAAAGGGAGCCAGGTAAAATGCCTGATCCCTTCCTGAAATCCAGTCGGGGGGCTAAAAACCCTACAACACCCGTCAGGGCGTCAGTACAGGACAAACATGGACCCAGTACAGGAGGTAATTATTCTTTCCTTTTCTATTTCCTTGCATTTTTTGCTTCATTTTCTACAAATTTTGACTTGGTTTTGGGTTACTTTTTCTTTCTTATACATTTTGCTGAAATAATTTTCTTTTAAATTTCTCCCGCATAATTCGTCCGCCAGAATACCCCACGATCTTAAATGATCAGTTTAATTAATAATCATATTTAAAATTAAAACTAGGATGTCAAAGATATAGAAAAGGAAAGTGTTTGTAGAACTGACCTATCCTAACATAAAAAGTGTCGCATCAAGTTTCGCTACGAATCGTCTTTAAATAGCCCACCCTTGATCTATTTATAAGGAAATGTTTTCCACGTTTGAAACATAAACATAACAGAAAAATAGGTCTATTTAAAGATAAGTGATTCACTTATGTATTCTCGTGGCGTTTTATGGCAGATGGGTCGCAATGGTGGAAATTTTATTTGTTCATTCAATTCTGAGGATCTTGCGTTTTGTAAAGTTAGGTACTCATTGTCGCCTCACGTGTCGAATCACACTCGGTTAATGCCCTTGTTATTTATACTTTTGGCAAGATTTCTGTTACCAAACAGGACGACGACCACCATTCGATTAATTTCATGCACCGTGTGCACAGATACTAAGGAAACTGGAAAAATATTAAAATTTCCTTATAGGAAATTATGTTTTCAAAGTTTTACATCAAATACACCAATTATCATGGTTATATATTTGATATAATTTTGGGTTATTATTTACTAGTAAGTAATTAGGCCGGATAGATTGATCGGGGACGATCAGACTGGACAAATTGATCCCCAAGATGTGTAAAAAAAATTCCCTATTGGCTCAAAAAGCGATAATAGACAGGATAGGATGATCACGGAGGATCAAACTGAGCAAATTGATCACCAAGATCTGCAAAAAAAAATCACGATTGGCTCAAAAATCGATAATAGACAGGATGGAATATCACGGAGGATTAAACTGAACAAATTGATCCAAAAGATCTATAAAAATATCCCTATTTGCTCAAAAAGCGATAATAGAGAAAATAGGATGATCAGGAAGGATCAAACTGAACAAATTGATCCCCAAGATCTGTAAAAAATAAATTCCGATTGGCTCAAAAAGCGATAGTAGACAGGACAGGATATCACGGAGGATCAAACTGAACAAATTGAACCCAACGTCTGTAAAAATATCCCTATTGGCTCAAAAAGCGATAATAGAGAGGATAGGATGATCAGGAAGGATCAAACTGAACAAATTGCTCTCAAAGATCGGTAAAAATATCCCTATTGGCTCAAAAAGCGATAATAGACAGGATAGGATGATCAGGAAGGATCAAACTGTACAAATTGATCCCCAAGATCTGTAAAAAATAAATTCCGATTGGCTCAAAAAGCGATAGTAGACTGGATAGGATGTTCAGGAAGGATCAGACTGAACAAATTGATCCAAAAAATCTATAAAAATATCCCTATTGGCTCAAAAAGCGATAATAGAGAGGATAGGATGATCAGAAAAGATCAAATTGATCCCCAAGACCTGTAAAAAATATCCCTATTGGCTCAAAAAGTGTTAATAGAATAGATTCATCAGGGACGATCAAACTGAACAAATCGATCCCAACGATCTGTAAAAATATCCCTATTGGCTCAAAAAGCGATAATAGACAGGATAGATTGATCAGGAATGATAAAATACTTGCCAAAAGAAAATAGAGGCTTATCAAAACGGCTTGGCCTGTCTAAAATTGCGAGATTAAACAGACCAGAATGAATCAGGGAGATCAACCTAGGCAAATGAACTCCCAGGTCCGTGCAAATAGACTTCAATGAAAAAAAGCGAATATGTGCGAACCAGGATAATCAGTGATAATCAAAAGTCTTACTAATGAACGTCGAGACTCAACGAAAGCTTTGACTGACTAATTGCGAGAATACCCGGACCAGGATAATCAGAGGCGATCAAATATTGGACAAATGAACATGTAAATTATGGCAAACGAATTAAACAAGCCAAAAAAGGCTTCGCGTGAGTAAAGAGAAAAACGAAAAGCAGACACGTGTTTTTTAATGAAATCGGCTAAGGAAATTAATCCACTGTAATATGAATCTGTTATATACACAACTCAAAGTGTTTAAAGTTTGTAACTATAACCAAAATATATCTTGACGTCACGAATCTGGACTTTTCCACTCTTGGAAAAACAGATGTATCCATCTGTATGGAAATTTCCGTTCGAATTTTCGAAAATCGGCTATCTCTTCTACAAGATCGACTACCTCAGCTCAATTCGACATTCTCCCTCCTAAATTGTAGGACTATTATTTCTAGTTGTATTGAAAAACTAGATGTAGATGTATTAATCTGGGTGTAATATACTCCGCCCTTTAAGCTATCCCCCGTTCTCTGCCTAAAGCACACCGGTGAGTCCTGTTTCATCAAGGAACTTGATTAGTAGGCCCGGCTTCAGTGGGTATCTCTTCTATGGTCACATTGTACATCCCAAAGCACTTCCTCCTGCGAGCAAGTGTAGCTCCACAATTTGTTAGTAGGTGCGTTGGTGTTTTCTCTGTTAATTTGCAGAATGTGCACTTGACGTGTTGTGTTATGTCAATCTTCTTAAGATATCCATTTAGTTTGCAGTGTCATGCTAAGAATCCTGTTAGGATCAGCAGTTTTTCCTCTTCCTTTTAAAGTTTGTTAGGAGGTTCTTGGATTGTTTGTGTCCAATGAGTGATTTGTTCTTTTATCCTTCTGTCTGAGGTACTCACAAATAGTGAGGGTTCCTATGCCACAAAAGGGCTCGGGTCCTATCAGCGGTAGCCCCTTTCCTTGCAATGGCGTCCGCTTTCTCGTTGCTTTCTACTCCCATGTGTCCTGGGACCCAGCAGAGGTTGACTTTGTTCTGAGTACTTAATAAAGTTTAATTTGATTTTGCAGTTCAACACTATGAACTAATGATATTTGAGCTTAGAGCTTTGATGGCTGCTTGGCTATCTGACATGATAGCTATGTTCTTGTTTTTGTACCCTTTAGTCAAGTTGAATTGAGAAAATCTCTCGATTGCATGGACTTCAGCTTGGAAGATACTGATGTGTTTTCCCTGGGTTCTGGGTATTTGGTTCCAGGAATACTCCTATCCTTGAATCTTCTGTGTTCTAGATCCATCTATGTACCAAAAGATGATGTTCTTAAAGGAGGTGTTTTCCTCTCGTCCCCATTCTTTTTTGCTACTTAGGTTTATTTGGAAGTTTTGGTTGAAAAACTAATCAAAAGCGTTAAGAAATCGGTAATTTTATTCTTAGGAGAATGGTTGGTGATTCAAGATGAAAGTTCGTCAGATTAAACCCACCAAGGGTTTCGATCAAGCCGTCTATCAAACGTTGTTTTTATTGACTGATAAGGGTTTGGCAACCAATTTTATTTAATGTGAGCTTTCCTCTTGAAGTCTGTGGGTGACTGACTTGTAAGTGGTCATTTCTGATCATTTTGACCTGACGTTTTAATAGTGTCAAACTAAAGAGATTTATTCTCATATTATTTATGATTCTATGCTAGTTATCTGATATAATCTTTTTATGTTAGTTGTATGTTTAAACAACACAATAACTCCACCATTTACCATTTTTATACACATTCAATTAGTACAGAACAGTTCTCTGGTGGTAATTTAACGGTCGATGTTCTGTAATCCTGGGAGGATTGCGAATTGACCTCACCCTTGCCCCAAGGGGTCCTTTAATCCCCGACGCTTGTTCATGCTTCATGCTCGTGTAGCATGAGAGTCCCGTGGGACCTTCGGCCCGAGAGAACTTCGTGTCCCGACGATCAGGAGGGGGTCTCCGGCCCCGAGATCCCGATCCCCACCGCGGCCGCGGTATCTTAGTGTGGGGGTACTCCAAATGTGCAATCCGTTCACACCGAGTGGTCAGTTTCGTTCCAAACGAGGAAGTGTGTGGTTCTGTGGAAGTGTTTCTAAAATGGTGAATACGAGCCCCTCGCTCCGACAGTTTCCGAGATCGCCCTTCGACCCTGTCACGATGAGCACGGCTGTTGAGCAGTTCAGAAAACTGATCACTTCGACCAAAGCGACTTTGGTAGGCTTACAAACCAAACTCTTTATGCCGCCTCTCCGGAAGAAAAAAAGCAATACTGCCATTAAATGTCCCAAGTAAATCGTCCAAAAATTAAACAAAAAAAGTTAAATTGCAAACAATTTTTTCCTAAGAAAAAAATTTTTTTTTAAATAAGTTAATCTTAAGACGGAAAAAAATATAATTTTCCTAACAGTTTTTCCCGTATTCGGTATTGTTGCAGCTTCCTTCTTTTCGAAATTCGATTTTTCCCTATCAGACGTAATTTCGAAACAAAATATTGTAAATTTTTCTTATTCAATTTGTGATATCACGGAAGAATTTTCATTTATCACTTTTTTTTTTTAATTTCCTTTTGTGAGCCATCAAACCCGAAGCCGGAACACCACGTGCAAGTGGAACAGGGAACTCTCTCTCCCTCAAATGACCTATTGCCCGAGATCCGGACAAAATGACCTATCCGACGCCCGTCAATTATTTTCCAAGAAGAAAAAAATTTTTCTCGTAGAAATAAAATTAATTAATTATTTCTCGCGTTTCTTTCCTCTTCTCCATGATTACAATACATTATACGATCTTCCGCATTCATAAATTTTAACCGCTTCCTTTTTCTATTTTCGCAGGGAAGTGGAAAAGACAGTTGGAGACCCACGTGTTGTGCATCCAACAACAACAACAACAACGAAAAACGATGCCGGAGGCAACAAGAAGAGAACAGTTCACTGTTGAAATTTCTTGCTCTGGTACGTTATTCAATATATTTTTTTATTAAATTCAACTGTTGACATTTTTAAGAATGTCTTGCCCTCCATTTTACGACAGAAAATAACTAGTAAAATAATTAAAACTTTACTTTCTCTTGGCCCCTTCCACGCTAATAGAGATAGTAATGAGATAAAGTTAATTTTAAAGTCTCTAAAGCCAATTCACTTTCAGCATTTTAGCTTTGAAGTAGCCTTATAGAATGTTGACTAAACGGTCAAAATCTCTTTTTTATTAACTTTTGAATTGATTAAGATAATTGAATTTATATCTGGTGTTTATAAGAAAATATGATTCTACATATAAAACCTGTAAAAACAGTAATAACTTTATTAAGGTCTGATTTAACAATATAATTTGTTTAATTGGTTTATTTTTTGTTGTTTTAACAGAACGCACTTGAGCTTTCTGCGCCTGCGAGTGATGTCCTGTTGAGGTCACAGCAATGCAGCCCGACGAACAATTGGTTCCAGCTTTCAGGCCATCCAGATTCGTTCGCGCCCGCCGGTCCTGGAACTGTCTGGAAGAAGTGCAGCGGAGGTGATGAACGGACCGTATACGAAGCTTTAGGCTGTGAGCCTGCTTTGAGGGACATCACTCCGGCCTACTTCCGGCAAGTCTACTATGCCGGTCAGACTTTCATCGAACTCCAGGACCTGTTACACGGCTTCAGAGATCCAAATGTAATGGACATCAAATTAGGAACCAGAACGTTCCTCGAATCAGAGGTGCAGAACACTACTGCAAGAAAGGACTTGTATTTGAAGATGGTCGCAGTTGACCCTGAAGCGCCTACAGAGGCAGAAAGGAACGCTCAAGCGGTTACAAAACTCCGTTACATGCAGTTTAGAGAACAACAAAGCTCCACATGTAGACTCGGCTTTAGAATCGAAGCGATGAAAGTGAGTTTAAATCACAATTTATATTTTAAGAATAATTTTTTATATAAGATATAATTAAACCTAATATGTTTCTTTTCAGTTTCGAGGATCACCACCAGTTACAGATCTGAAACGTGTGAAGACCACCGAACAAGTGTCTGACACAATGTCTCTATTTCTAAATACTAGAGATGATGTCAAACAAAGAGTTGTAGCCAGGTTGAACGAAATCAGATCTAAACTTGACCAATCGCATTACTTCTCTAAGCACGAAGTTGTCGGCAGTAGCATCCTCATCTTATACGACGATACCAAAGTAGGGGCCTGGTTGATAGACTTTGCGAAAACTCGTCCCGTACCTGATGGAATTAGACTGAATCACAGGACTCCTTGGACTCCTGGAAATCATGAAGAAGGGTTCCTATACGGCCTTGATAATCTTATCAGGGTGAGTCCACAATCCATCAAACCCCTCTTAATTCGATAAGTTTTAACAGTAATAATAATATTGATGTATTTTTGTCCAGGTTTTAGAAGATGTTAAGACTTCCACTCCTGAAAATACCGTTCCAGCAAGCAATCCTTTGGCCTTAAAATCATGACTTACTTAGAACGCCGTCTTGTTTTGGATTCTAGTCTCGGACTTGTCGCATTGTGTGATCAAGCAAATTGACGTTTCCTTTACTGGTTGAACGAACAGTACTTACTAGGCCAAATATGATGCATTGTGCTTACCGAAGAATCTCAAATGTGTGACTCTCTATTCTGGAATTGATATTTTCAGTTGCATGTGAATTAAAGAGAGCAATCAATTTTTTTTTTATAATTAATATTTTTACTAAGTTTGTCTAAACACATTATAATTAGTGGTTGAATTGTACTTACATAAAAAATTGTATTATGTGTCTTTGATTTCTATTTTATTATGTTTTTATACAAGTATTCTTTGTAAATAATTATTTCTAAATTATTTTTCTATATGAATTATTCTTGACTTAGAGAGTGTTAGATTGCCTCTTCATAAATTTCTTTTTCAACTGCTTTTTTTGTATAATACTATGCAGTTTTTTCGTTTGTTTTTTTATTACTACACTGATACTATTGAATTTTGTTTGTATCAAATTAGCAATTTGTGCTCTAACTAAATTTTCTTTTAAAAAAATATATGGTAATTAAATGTGTTACTATTTAATTTTAATTTTCCACCAAAGCCTTAATTTTTTTCTTTTTTTTTAATGAGGGTCATATCAACCCTCGAAGTGCTGGTGCTCGGTGGTGTTGGACGTAAGTATATCTGGTTCAAATGCAGGCCCGTTGGTCCCAACCAATTTACCTTACAGTGATGAGTGGCGGGTAAACAACTAAACCATAGCGGTCACTGACGCTCCCTTACACTTTTTTTTTAGAAGAATGAAAATTACTATGAGATTTGTACTGTATGGCGTAATATTAAGCCAAAGAAAAGAAAAAATACTTGCATATAAACTTTTAAGTAGAAGCCATGTTATATCATCAAAGAAAGCACACAGGATCATGTCAATTGTTTAAATTTTTATTTGACCATCTGTTACAAGTTATCTATCAAGGCTATCTCAATAATTTGTTTAAAATTCGTAACTTCTTAATAGAAAATACAAAACGTGCAATTTCAACACTTTTTTGACAACTTTTAAAGATTGCCCATGTACAATAAGACAAATCTTTTAATTTGCTTTAATCAAAATGTCGTTAGAAAAAATAAACCATTTTTTATTCAACAACACTATGGACACAAAAGGGACAGCTGGTTATTCTGTATAAAGGCCTAGATAGGTTTTCTGTTTTTTTGTACTTTTTCTTACGAAATTAATCCAGTGAACCAAAATTGTTGAAGTTTAGAAAATACACCACCTCTACTGCTAATCCTGAAGTGAGCTGTAGTTTAATATGTACGTACGAAGTTTTTTCAAAATATTTATTTCAATGAAATGAATAGTTACAATTATTTTACAGTGAAATTAAAAACTAAAAATATGAGAGTAAAATAATTTAATTCAGCTCAATTAATAAGCGATTTTAATAATTTAATGGGATGGAAGATTATTGGAACCACAAAAATAGAAATAAAATAACTTCTCTAAATTAAGCATGGAAATTTGATATCTTAAAATTTCTTTCATAATATTGAAATCAAATCTAAATATGGAATACATAAACAGGCAATAAACACATAAAATATTAACCTAAATAAAAAAATAAACTAGGGGAGATGTGATGAAATTGCATCATATAAACTATATTTTACCAAACTTGTCTGCTTGGATATAAATGTGCATACAAATATTTAAAATTTTGAGATTCAATTTACAATTTAATATGTATTTCCATAGATGTACAGAATATATCTATATCAATTTTTTCCTAAAACCACAAGGCCTGAAATCTGAATGATTATTATGCAATTATATCCCTCAGTTAAAATGTTGACATTTAAAATTTCTTTTAAACTATTGAAATGTAATTAGCAAGAAGTGGTGAATGTGGTGAGAAATATAATGCAGCATAAAAAATAATAATAATAATAATGTCCTTTAACTTTTTGTAATAATATTGTACATATATATAAATAAATTGATTATGAGCTCAAATCTGCCGTATGTACATACAGACATGTGTACAGAATTGAGCCTATCACTTCTCACATTTCGCCGGCGATTCCAGCTTTTGTGTAATTTACAATAAATTACTAGCAGGCCTTGAGAATCACCTATTGACGGTCGATGTGGTACTAAATTTTCTGCTAAAAGCCCTCTCACACTACACATTCACACTAATAAATACATTCACTCTCAATATAGACAAAATGAGATATCTATCATGTTCTAAGCAATAAAACTGTATTGTTTCCTCCAAAAATCGGAATAGTGAACTCAAATGTTCAAAAGTAAGGATCCATGTGTCATTTACACAATAATTTTACATGAAAAAGTTTAAAGTTGCCAGTAAAGTTAAAACTTAAAATGAACACTTATTATTTAATTAATACAATCGATAAGTGCCAGAAATAATTTAATATAAAATAACAACATACAAACATAAGAATTTGGTTCACTGAGTAACAGGAGTACATAAAAATGTTGATCTTTGATTGATTATATGTATAATACCTAGCTAGAGAAAGGAGAAAAAAATACACTTCGGAAAAAAAAAATTTCCAAAGATATTCCTATCCTTACAATTTGATAATAAGAGTACTACTAGGAAACTAATAATTCTGAACTTTAAACCCTACCGGGTTACAGAATGAGAAGGATTATTCTCTTTGTAATCTGAAAGTTAGAGAAGACACTTTTCACTTCATTGCGATTTGCCCTATCCTACAGAAATTGTATTGTCAAGACAGGATTTTATAAATTTTCTGGATGGGTGCACTGGTGGGTGTACACCAGAGTAGCTTGGATTTACAGAAAAGATCTGGTTCATGAATTTAATTTTTAAGAAAATCAAAGAAAGGATATACTTTTTACCCTTTTTTCATTGCATTACTACTATAGACTGCACTTCATTTATTTGTTTTTGTAGAGATTTTTCTGTTAAAAATATTTTTTTCCTATTTCATCATTTATTATATGTTATATGGATGTATTTGTAATTCTATAGGTATATATTATGTATTCATTGATGCATTTGGGGGTGTCAGGGCCGCAACAGTTTAGGCGAGACACGGCGCTCATCACTGTAAGGTAAACGTCCCGGGTTCGAATCCAGCAGTCCTACATTTATATCACCTATGCTGTTGCGAACCCTCGTAAAAAAAAAAAAATAATACATTTGCTAAGGCCTTCTAGCGGCAGATGGAATTTCCATGCCATATTTTTTATTTATGTATTTCTTATAATTGTACATTTATTATTATTCAATTCACTAGTTTCGTGGTCCGCTTGACCAATTAATATCTTACAATTAATTAAGGTTTTCAGTTGAGATAAAAAAGATAATTGGTCAAGCGGACCACGAAACTAGTGAATTTAATAAGTTTAAAATGAAGTATACTTCACTAAAGTTCTCCGTGGCCATTTCATTTGTCGCCGAGAATCAAATTGATTACCGACATTTGAAAAATGGCAAAAAGGAGGGAAAATTCAAATGGTGTGGTTGAGATCGAGGTATCCGAGTGGATCGAGGTCACAATAGCTCAAGTGGTAGAGCAGCGGCATATCAAGCCGAAGATTGTGGGTTCGAATTCTCGTGCCATTGACTTTTTTAACACAACTGAAAACCTTAATTAATTGTAATTTATTATTATTGGAATACTTCATATGGTTTAAATAAAAATAAGGGAGTAATAACAAAATCCACTGATGTACTTTTTTTTCATTAAACTTACTTCTTTATATTGGTAACATGAATGTACAAAAGATTTCTGATATAAAACAAATTAAATTTATTCATTTGCTGTAGACTTTATTTATCTGTAGACTTGAAATATAAGTTTTCAAGCCGTTTCTCAAGTCAAATATTGATCTTTTATAATATACTTTACAGAATTGTAAAAAAATGGACGTTAGCAGAGTGAAAGATCAAAAAAATGTCTCTGAAATCCTTCCATTATGTACTTATGATAATGATGAGACTAACTGTCGGCCAAGGCTGGTGGTGAACAAGTATAAAAAGTGCGAATATTCCAATGCAAACGAAGTTTTCTCGACTGAAAATGAAACAACCGGCTTGGACAAAACGACAGAAGGTTTACTGAAAGGGCTTATACCACATTCAAACGATCATGTGAAAAATAGAGACCCCATTGATAAACTTTACAGCCTTTTCAACACGCTGAATGACAATCAGTTTCCCAAACAGTACATCCCGGCTCGTTACAACATTTCAAAAGGAATCACAGACGAACTGTTTCATAAAACAGAAATTGAGGTAATTTAAGATTTCAAGCATTCTCTGCCTCTTACATTTATGTAACTGTTTTTTAGGTCAACTTTGAAACTGTGAAAATGTCTCTGTGGAAGGCTTGTACAATCATGGAACAAGTGAATGGTGTAAAAAGTTGAATGACAAATATAATATGTATAAAGAAGTGAAATTCAAACGTTTTTAATGTTAGAATATAAGTCTCCCTCCCTTTTTATCTTTTGAAATTATATTTACATTCCGTTAAGACAAAAGCTTTCTTTTTATTTCTTTCGAACCATTAAAAAATAAAGAAGAAATTGTTAAAATTATTAACTGTGGCTTTTGATCCTGATTTTATACTCTGAAGCATTAAACATATACATATCCGATTTTTTGATAACAGTTTCAGAACAAATATTCCTTTTTTTTCAGTTTCCATTTCATTCAATGACTGGAAAACAGCAATATGATTTAATGCAAGCATGCTATTTGCAAGTAGCCAATTGCTTAATGGTTCTTAAATTACTTTTGATGTTAAGGGTAATAAATAAAAAAGAAAAGACAGAATATACAGTACCCACGGCTCCAAGGGATGAACTGTGTAAGACAACGGTGTGCAGGGGTAGAAGCTAGGGCAGAATGAGATATTCAGGGTTTCGTTTTGAAAAAAAAAAAAAAAAAAAAGGACTACCAAAAATAAAATAAAAAAACTACACCATACAAAGATACAAAAAGAGTACTCAGGGCCAGGGCCATACACACAAGTATGTTTCAAGTCAGTTAAAAATAATTATTAATTTAGGATGGATAATGTATCAGGATTGTGGTCCATACTAAGACTTTGATACATTGCCCATCCTAAATTAAAAGTTTTCTGGTCAATAGCGTCGATGTCATCAATAACATACTATCGCATACTATTATTATTATATAACATGAAATACCCAAGTAGTCATCAGTGTATAAATAATTTCCAAGTTGTTGACAGAAAAAAAAGAACCTGATCCTGACTTGTGATAAAACATGAAGACATCTTCAATGTCAAAATCCTAAACCTCATCTTTTTTTGGGCTGAATTATTAAAAAACAGTGTAAATTCTCAAGAACTAGCAACAACTAGAAATTCTCATTTACTAGCACCAAGCTTCTGTAAAAGGCATTTTCTTCTGTTGTCCGTATAAAAATAAATACAAGAGCATATTAGATGCGACTAGTTGGAGAACATATCAAAATCAATAGTCTCAAAAATCCCTTTTTTTGGGAGGGGGGGGGGCTCACAACACAAATGTGAACTTTGTAAGGCTTAATTCCATTTATGTGGTATTACATTCAATAAGTTTGTATTAGTTGATTTAAAATTTATTAACATTCCTATGTTTTCAGTATCTTATTTTAAAGATATTTATTTCTGAAAATAAAAGAATGAAGTGAGTAAAAATAAGGAACAGTTTATTGTGCAACCTCCGTACTTTTTATATGGGCAGGTATGGTAGGAAAGGGGTACAATGAAGTATTGGATGGGGTACTCTTTGAGGATCTTAACTATACGGGGTATGAAGATTGAACAAGGTTTAAAACTACTGATTTAGTCCTATTGTTTAATTAATTAATACTTCTTATCCATTAAGTGTCATCAATAATTACCTATCAGTGCAGTGCCATTCTTTCTGCTTGTCCGCTTCCTATGTCCAATAGATAAAAAAAGTGGCTCGAGTACAACTCCTTGCAGAACCCCAATCCCAATCAATATAGGCCAGGTATTCACATCCAACTTCATCCAAAGGTTTCTAAGTAACATATAAGAATGAAAAATTATATAGTGCTGCGAAGGTATGACACTGGGGATTAAAGGTCTGATGCTTCACCCAGAAAAACGCCTACTCACCATCCAGGAATACACTTGAGCAGTCTCTCAGAACTATATTTCTATTTTAAAAACTCTTTTTTCTTGCTAATTAAAATTAATCATAAAGGTTGAGTATATTTAACACACTTTTTCATAAGAAAATATGAAATTTAATTAAATTCAACTTTATTTTTCAACTCAAAAGATAATTTTTAATTAATTATTTCCAATAAATTATGTTTTCTGTTCTATTTAATTTCAATTAATTTATTCATATTTTAGTTTTTAAATTTTCCAAATTTAAATTGTGGTGATAATCAAAAGTTTTGCGTTATCACAAATGATATCATTAGGTGAACTGTGACGTGCTTTTGATCACAGGAGGTTATTCTCTTGAACACCCGGGAGGATTTGTAACGTTTCTTGTAATCTTGTTTATTTTTCAGTTGTTATTTTTTGAAAATAACATATTTGGGAACAGAAAAACTCATGGAAACATGTTTTTCATATGCAGAATGTTTTTCATAGCCAAGACGAGAACTTAACTTTGTACATTTAAATTTGTAAGTGCATATGTATACAATAAAGTTGATGTTAATATATTATTATTATATTAATTGATGATATTAATATATTTTTTATGTAATTGTATGTTTAATATTAGGATAAATCCCGTCTGAAGTGTGTTAAAATGGCTATGAACAAGCTGATGCACCCAAAGAACCCTTACAAGACTCCACCGAACTTCAAGGAGCTTGCGCTGCAATTCCCCGAATTCAGAAAGTTCGCACGACAGGTTTGTTCTTATTTGCCTATTAAGTCAATTTTGTCCAATATATTTTTCACCAGTTCCCTCTCGACCTATTTTACAGGACTTGTCGGGAAAAATTGGCCTGAATTTCAAGAATGAAGGCGCAGTCTGGGCTCTGACCAGTTGCCTGTTAAAAAAAGATTTCGACTTGGATGTGAAGACAGTCCCGTCTCACTTGGTCCCAACGCTGCCTCTCAGGCTCAACTACATCCTTTGGCTGTCGGATATCGTGCAGTTGTTGCGTCCCGGTCAAGAAGGGGCCAGTGGGATCGACATAGGTATCTCTCTTTGCATTTATTTTATTTATGTAGAAATATAACGCATGGTGTGTTATGACCCACAATTAGGAACAAAAATAAAATCATTCAGGTAACGTCCTTCTTTAAGACCAGAATTTATTTTTTACTTATCTTATTTATTGTGTAAAAAAACAAAAAACACCAAAATAATCATTTCCCCCACACAATTATTATTGAAACGTAGGCAGACTTGTGCATCTTCAGACACACTACATTTCAGCTATTGTGACTTCAGTACCACCGAGACAGGGGGCTGCGGTAGCCGAGTGGTTAAGACGTCAGTCTCTCGGCTAGAAGATCCTGCGGTCGTGGGTTCGATCCCCACCATCACCTCTGGACTTTTTCTGACGCCTAAGGGGACCGGTGGCCGCAATTGAAAGAAATTGACATGGTACTCATCAATGGAAGGGGCGGGATTGGATCTCAGCGACCCTGAATTTGATCCCAACCCCCTTCAAAAATGAGTTTCTTCGAAGGAAGAACGGGGGCTCAAGTTCACATTTGTGTCACGAGCCCCCCCCCCCAAAAAAAAAATGGAGCCAGGGATAAAGTACAAGCTGTACAGCTCAGCTGCAGTGCTCAGGAGGTAACTCCTCCAATCCCTGGTATCCATTGGGGGGGAGGAAATATCGAGACACCAACTCATCTCAACCTACAGTTTCAAGTACCTTCAGTACTTTTCAAATTCTTCTATTTTTGCCTTACATTCAAATTATGTGTAATCGTTTGGATTCTCTCTCTGGATTAGTGAAATACAGGTCCTTCAGGAGTTATTATATTGGGTTGTCCGGAAAATAATGCAGGATTTTGGTATTAAACAAAAAAAAAAGAAACTAGTTACTTTAAAGCAATGTTCTTTAATCAAAATAATTTCCCATACTCTCAATACATTTCTCCCAACGTGTTGGTAACTTATTANTGACATTCATACAAATGAGTAATCCTGTAAACGTAAACAGAATATTTTATATAGATTTTTTTTAATGAAAACTTAAAATCCTGCATTATTTTCCGGACAACCCGATATTAATATGTTTTTAGTTGATCTTAGCTGACCCAAGAGCAATCATTCAAAGTGATTTATACATAATTTTGAGATCATGAGATGTGGTGGAGATGTACATGTAATACACCCTCTTTTCAAAAATTAAGGATCTTACACATGTAACAAATAAGTCTGATGTAATTTACAAAATCAATTGTATAAATTGTCCGACAGCTTGCATTGGAATTACATCCCAATATTTGGATAAGAGGGTAAAATAACATATCTATGATTGCAAAAACCAAAACAAAATCTTACAGCACTGGCTACCCACCATTTTGAACGCCAACACAATTTTGATTTCAACAATCTAAAAATATTAAACACAGAACAAAACAAACATAAATGTAACTTTTTAGGAATGGTTTACATCAACCGAGACAAACACAGCACCAATTTGTTGAAGTCACAACAGCATTGAACACACACGTGTAAACTCGGCTGCAGCTAAGATAATACCATAAATCAAATTAAATATCAATAACATACATGTAACACACAAAACATACAACAATTTGTCTCTCCTTTCCCTAATAATCCTGTCTCTAATATTCCTGAAAAGCTATCCAGGCCCAAACAACAAACGATTAACGTTTTTCCATTGACAGTCCCTTTCAACTCAAAGAAGCCAACTTCTCATAATTTAAATGAATTTCCATCCCTACCTTCTTTCCCGCTCCTTCAAAATCAAACATTTATAAATAACAAAACATTAAAATCTCATTAACACTCAAAACACGGCACACAACAGTGACACTTCTACACAGATAACACTCATTTTGAGTGAGCACAAATACTTTGATTAAACCTAAAATTTCTATATTGTATACATCATTGTTTAAATTCATTTTCATATCTTATGTGTATTTGTATGTGTTTATAAATCCCAGGCTCTGCAGATGATCTCAATAAGATCAAAACGTTGGCACAATAAAGAAAATATTTTTCTATACATACATCACATCAGACCACATTCCACGATCTCTAAATAATCATTAATTAATGGCCACTAAATATTACACAAATTTATGTAAAGTGTGGCTGAAATGAAAAGACTAGTGCCATGAGTGGGACTTGAACCCACGACCTAAAAGTGACCACACTTTTACATAAAAATTATAAATCACTTTGAATAATTGCTCTTTGGTCAGGTAAGACCAACAAAAAACAAGAAGAAGAACCTGAACTTCACTAACATCTCCTCATGGCCACTTAAAGTTTACCAAAATCCAAAAGATTACACGTAATTTGAATGTAAAGCAAAAAGAGGGGAATTTGAAAAAAATGTAGGTTGAGATAATGAGCTGGTATCTCAGGGGTACGGAAGTCACAATAGCTCAAATGGTTAAAGCAAAGTACATTTTCCAAACAATTTCTGAAAAAATAATTTAGTTTACGATTTTTTTTTTGTCTTTTTGGAACAGGTACAGGAGCATGTTGCATATATCCATTAGTGGCAGCAAAAAGATTTTCTTGGAATATGATTGGGACTGAAGTAGACGAAAATAATTTCAAATGTGCAAAGGAAAATGTAGAAAGGAATGGTCTGCAAGATAAAATTCGAGGTTTGTTTCATGTAATTAATTTTTTTCCGGTTTTATTTATCTCACAATTTCAAATAGTATAAAAAAGGTTTCTTTGCAGTACTTTCGGTAAAGCAAGGTACATTTCTTTGTGGTGTTGTCAAAGAAGAGGAAGTTTATGACTTTTGTATGTGTAACCCTCCTTTTTACGATGAAACAAATCCTAATGATAATTGTAAATCCAAACGTAGGAGTGAAGAGAGGCCTGGGCCTAGAAATGCTCAATCAGGAGTAAACGTTGAGTTGACGACTCAAGGAGGAGAAATTGCATTTGTTCAGAACATAATCGACGATAGTCTAAAGTTGAAGGATCAAATTAGGTAAAATTTGTTATTTTACAAAATAATTTTACAGTTATAAAAAATAAGTTTTTTGAATTAACATAGGGTTTATACGACTATGCTCGGTCATAAAAGCAGTCTTGCACCGTTAAAACTGTACATAAAGAAAAACTGCGAGGCAAAAATCTCTTCTACAATGTTTTGCCAAGGGAGAACAACAAGATGGGGTCTTGCGTGGACTTTTCTTCCCAATGTTGATTTGGACAAAGCTGACATACAAGGTCTTCTTCCAAAGAAAAAAGTAGACTACGTCCGTTCGGCGGATATTTCCCTCGAGGGCGACACACTTCATCAAGATCTTGTCAGCAAAATTTTAATTATTTTAGATCAATTAAAGGTTAATATTCAAGCAAACAATTTTTGTCAGTAATCATATTAGTTGCGTTTCTTTCTTTTTTTAGATCGAAAGAAAATGTTTGCAAATGGCGACCAGTGAAGGTGAAACATACAGCATTCTGGCAAGGAAGAACACTTGGATAAACGATCGAAAAAAAAGAAGAGAGGAGAAAAGGAAAGAGTCGCAGATGTCAAATTGCAACACTGACAACGATTCGGTCGAACCTGGTTCAAAAAGGAGATTCGAAAATGATGAAGGTCCATCTAAAAAAACAAAATATGATGTCGACAGTGAAAATGAAGTTTATCTTAAATGCAAATTAGCCATGAAGAGACTAGAGGGTGTCTTGGGAGTTGAAATGACCTTTGTAGAAGGCTCTGGAGGAAAAGACGCTGTTAATCAGCTGTTGCAATACTTAAAGAATCACATCAAGTAGATGCAGTAAACCCATTTATTTATTTTTGTGTAAATATATTTTTGGTTTTAAATTATTTTGTTTTACATTATTTTTTCACCTGTCTTTAGTTGTAGAATAGTGAACTGATTTTTTTAATTACAAGTATAGTGTGAAAAAGCCATACCAATCCACACAAAGAAAGCTGGTTTACAAAATTTGATAATGAAAACTGGAGCTTTGAAAGTAAAAGTTCTGAAATTTTACGATCTCACACTTCAGTCACAGATGATTCACAAGTTTTTCACACTTCAATAAACCATCATTTGTTATAACGTCAAGAACTGCAGAAGCCCTCTGTCACAAATGGCGGTGTAAATAGTTCATGAACCAATTTATATTTATAAAATCAATTTATTATTTCAAAAGTATATAGTGTTTGCACCACACTTGAGGCATAGCCTTCTAGTGCCCAGGGGGTTTATGTGGCTTGGTTATGTCATCATAGTAAGAGTTCAGGAATATAGCCTTGTCAGCAAGGACTCTGGGTCCAAGCCCTTCATGGTTGATCCATTCAATCAACGTACACAATCCAAGTCTGCGGTCAGAGTGAGAGGGAGAAGAATTGCGAATCGGTCAAATGAAGACCCAGATGAGACAGTAGTGACTAGTAGTCGATGGCTCATTTGGCAGTTTTGTGTTCAGAATTCTCAGTTCAGCTCCGCAGTGAGAATAGTCACCTGAGTCCAGGTTGTTCTTTTTTGAAATCTGGATATCTGCCAAAAGCTGTAAACTACCCATTTCAACTACTGGACTCAGGACCATGGTTCATCGCATTCTCTGAATTATCTCTCTGGCTAATTTATATATTTTTTATGCCTTTATTTCCTATATTAGCCAGATAGTTTATTCAGAGAATACGATGATTAATTTTATTCTTGGAGAAAGGGGAGATGGAAGGAATTGAACACTCTGTGGGTATATGAGCTGAGAGTCTAACATGCTTACTACTTGCCTACCATGGTCCCATGTCCAATAGTTGAAAAGGATAGCTTTTGGCATTTATCTGGATTTCAAGCAGTCTGAGTAGAGAATTACATCCGTTTTTCAATGCATATTGTGGACAGATTTATTCAGTCTGATGATGACCACTTAAATGCTTGAAATCTGGATAACTGCCAAAAATGGTTTGTGGGTAGAACTTTTTTTTCAACTATTTAATTAATATACTAGTAAATTCAAGATCAGGGATGCGGTCATCAAAAAAAAAAAAAAATCATTTTTGATGACCACATCCCTGATCTTGAACTTACTCCTCCTGATGGTTGAATCATCCTTCCTTCATTTATTTTCACTAATTTCGTGGTCTGCTTGACCAATTAGTATATTACAATTAATTAAGGTTTTTAGTTGAGATAAAAAAGTCAATGGCACGAGTGGGATTCGAACCCATGATCTTCGGCTAGATATGCCGCTGCTCTACCACTTGAGCTATCGTGACCTCAATCCACTCGGACACTAACTTCCCATCTCAACCCCACCATCTTCCTTCATTTAATTGATACAGTCCCTCCATCATAACCACTTTTTCACCGATCCATAATCACGATCTACAGTCCAGTGCAACTACATCCCTCCTCCGAACGACGCCTGTATGCTGAGCAATAAATCTGATCCCCTCAAACTGGACCATTTAAATAAGTAAAACTTTTTCTAGGACAATACTGCTCTACCTCTTTGAATGAGATATCCCGAGGCACAAGAGAAGACATCGATGCCAGAACATATATTAACAAACATAAACTTCATACAATGGTATATTTTGAGGCAACTAGTTGTTCCTATGCCAAGATAATGAACTAAACGATGTGAATTTGGTGGAATATCGATCAAATACTGCAGACCCAACACTGAAGATGGCAAAATACCGAAACACATTTGATAGAGCAACAAAGAGAGGAAAGCCAGACCAAAATGATTAGTAAAAATAACAGGATGCATCTCCTTGCAGATCAAATAGACAAATCTCATAATGATGAACCTGTCCCTGTTGTTTCGTTCATTTTGGTCTGTCTACCCTTGATGTTTTTGTGTCTAACATGCTAGTTTCTCACCATCTTCATAGAGGCATTCCAGCTAAGATGAAGCGTTTACAGTCTATGTCTAGTCAAACCAAAAAACAAAAATAGTGATAAATGGAACAATAAGCATGTATCAAACTAAAGAAAATTATCTTAGGAATAATAAAAATGTGGGGTATATCGATTCATGTTGTGTAAATGATGATTCTACTCACAGATTTTGTATGAAATCTGGGTGTAGAAACATCATTTACAAAAAATGTCTTGTCTAAGCAGCAGTTAATAATAAAATGGCAATTCAATGTTATTTTATTATTTATCTGAAAAGTTTTTCCATGATGGTTAAATAAAAACAACAAAATGTATTAAATTTACTTTATTCTTAATTATCGAACAAATATTACATAAACTTTTTTTAGTACTGAACTATGAAACTTTTAAGTAGAAAATGAAAAGAAAAGAACGCAAATCTATAACGAAAAAGCTAAGAGATTGGTGTGCATTAAGCCAGTTAGAAAGTTAACAAATATGTGTGAACCGAACAATCACACATTTTCGTATAAAAAATATATATAATCCTTTTTAGCAGTAGCCACGGTCCTCAGTACGCTTGCGAGGAGCTGCTTTCAAAATATCATCAACTCTGATGATGACCTCAGTCGCTTCCGAGGCAGACTGGAGCATCTGTTTCTTGACGGAGTAGGATTCTACGACACCAAGGGCCTTCATGCAGCCGATTTCACCGGTGTTCATATCGAGGCCGTAAGAAGTGTCACCTTTCTTGTGAGCATTTCTTAAAGCAGAGAGAAGATAAGCAGAGTCAAAACCACCGTTGTCGGATATGATCGTAGGAAGCTGGAGAAGAGCCTTGGCGAAGGACTCCATCGCGACGGATTCTTTGCCAGGGATATCACTGGCCGCTTCGCTGACCGCTCTAGACATGATCATTTCACTAGCTCCGCCTCCGAATACAGTCTTCTTGTCACGTACAGTTGTAGTCAGAACGCACAGAGCATCATGCAATGATCTGTCCGCTTCGTCGACGATTTGTTGTGTTGCACCACGGATTACAATACTACAAGCCTCACCCATTTTGACACCGGCAAAACGTAGAAGTTTATCTTCTCCTATGATGACTTCCTCAATTACATCGCATTCTCCAAGTTTGGTATTTTCCGGGTTGTCAAAAGTCGATACGATCTCACCTCCGGTGACAAGAGCGAGTCTTTCAATACCGTCAAAATCGGCGTGTTCGATCGCCATAACTCCGGCATCGGCAAAAAGCTGTTCTGGATAGTTGTAAATGAGCTGACGGTTAATAAATACGTTGCATTTGTAACTGAGGATTTTATCGACTTTCATTTTCATCTTTTCTTTTTCGGCCAATTCCATCTCGGCTACTTTGGCGACTGAATCAACTCTCACTCTGGACCCGAACACTTTGATTTTATCAGTGTCCATGGGAGTGTTGGCGATAAGGATCTTTGCCTTTAAAATCTTCTTCGGCTGTGACTGGCCAATCTTCTTGTCCAAAAGGAAGCCCTCGTCCAAAAAGGAGTCGCTGAGGCAGCCGCCGGTCTTCTTGATCACCTGGATGGCAGAGAGGTTCCCGGATCCTTTCAGTCTCAAGACGGCGTCGACGGCGAGCCGGCTGAAGTGGTCTTTGTGAAGACTGAGGATCTTAGAGCTGAGGGAGGTCCTCGCGAGGTTGAGCAGGTCTTCTTTGAAAAGCTGGTCGTTCTCGCTGTGGTCCATGGCAGAATCGTGGAGAGCTTTCAAAGCTATCTCGGCCGCTTTCCGGTAGCCGGCGATGATCGTCTGCGGGTGGATTTTCTTCTCGATGAGCCTCTCGGCTTCGCGGAGAAGCTCGGCGGCCAAGACTGTGACCGAAGTCGTCCCGTCGCCGACCTCGTCGTCCTGCACCTTGGCCATGTTGCAGAGTATCTTGGCAGCCGGGTTGTCGACCCCGATCGCCCTGAGTATCGTGGCGCCGTCGTTGGTCACCTCGATCGAGCCCTGATTCCTGCCTTGTGAGACCAAAATCTTGTCCATGCCTTTCGGGCCGAGCGTGCTCTTCACCAAGTCGCCGACCGCGATCGCGCCGACGAAGTTGGACAGCCTCGCCATTTCCGCTTTTTCCTCCTCCGCCTCATGTTTTAAAATCCTGACCGGGTTTAGAGACACCATTTTCACAGATCTTTACTATTTAGCTGAAGAATCGACAAATACTTAACACCTGCTCTGAGTAATCGCCCACTTGAGTAAGGCTAAAAACGAGAAACACGAGACGAGCAAGTCGGGAGTAGAGACGTTCCGACACTATCGATATGAGTAAAGTATCGAACAATTTCTTTCGATACCAGGTATTTTTAGTATCGAGCCTCCACTTTCCATACAAGTACTGGTATCGAGTACAGTAATCCCTTGACATTCGCGGGTGTTTGGTTCCAGAAAACTGCCATGAATTTTAAATCCGCGAAGTCCAATTTTCCTATGCTATAAGGAGGGTTACGTTCCATGACGCCAAAAAGTGAGTACAATTCACAACTAAAAAAAGTCTATTCAAAATAAACGTAATAGAAGCTAGTTTACAAAATTTGATAATGAAAACTGTAGCTTTGGAAGTAAAAGTCCTGAAATTCTATTATCTCTTGATTGTACAATTGCTACTGATGATTGAACAATCACAGTACAGTCGCAGATGAATCACAAGTTTTTCACACTTCAATAAACCACCATTCGTGATGACTTCAAGAATTGCAGAAGCCTCTATCACAAACGGTCGCATTGGACCAACTTTTTGTTGAAAGTAGAAAAAAGTTTTCTGAGAATCAATTAAAACCTTCAATCCATTTTTTTAAAAGAATTATTTTCTTATATTCTTTTTTTTGCGCGAATAAAGAAATTGGACTTCCGAAAATGCCAAACCTTCCCTCATTTTTTCATACATGAATAGCGAAAACCGCAAATGTCAAAATCGCGAGTAGTATTGAATATTTTTGTTGATACCAGTATCGAGTACTTTACTATCTTAAGCGGGGAACACACCAGACGCGACGTTACCCGACGCCTTATCTCGTTTTGGTTGGGTGCGCACAACTGTTCGACTCAAGCGCACGCCACGTACAGTCACACAGTGTGTATCACAAATCAGAAATGTGTGGTGATTAGTGACCGTTAATCGATATTTATTTAGAAATCGTGAGGTACGGTCTGGTGTGACGTAGGTTTTAGAAAAAACATTTTCTTTATCGTGCTACGTTTCGATCTTTATTGAGATCATCTTCAGAGCCTGGGATTTATAAACATTGTTTAAATTATACAATGTTGTGTGCTCCATCCTGGTTCAGTGGTCATCTTCGGTGGTGTTCAGTTCAGTGTCTCCTAGTCCGAAGTATTACCGTCAAATCCAACCAAATACGCTTCGCTCGATTCTGGTGAGGTTATTTTCGAAGGTCGTCGTCGGAACCCGGGTGCGTCCATCGTTCGGGCCGTCGCTGCTCTCGGCCAGTCTGGCCATAATTTTTATAGAAAACCCCTAAATTTTAAATCTCGTTTAATTTGTTTCATATTAAAATGAGCATATTGTAATTAATATAACGACAAAAATACATATAGTTTGGAATAAAAATATGTGTGATCTGGACAGTGGGGAAGTTGGTTGCATCGCGTAACATAGAGTAGCGTATCGTTGCGTGGCATCGGGCAGATGTGCAGGGGGTAATACAATCTTACGGAAAATTAGACATTGGATTTGTGTCGTGAAAGGATGGTCCATGCATCTTTAGTATCGTACGTCACTTGTCGGGAGTGGAAACGATCGCATAAAAATCGACTTCGGTTCTTGTTTAGACAAACGGAGCGATAACTACAAAGTTTTAGAATCGATTGTTTCACACTTTCTCCCTCCGATGGTCGAGTGGTTGGATTCATGGCCGTCTAGTCCGAGAGCGTTGCGTTAGAGTGACGCCGTGCGCCTCCGACGGTCTCAACGGGAAACCAGTTCAGTTAACGATTTTGCTCCATCCTGGTTCAGTGGTCATCTTCGGTGGTGTTCAGTTCAGTGTCTTCTCGTCCGAAGTATCACCGTCAAATCCAACCAAATACGCTTCGCTCGATTCTGGTGAGTAGGCTCTTTTTGAACGGTCGTCGTCGGAGCCCGTGCGCCGTCCGTCGTTCGGGCCGTCGCTGCCCTCGACCAATCTGTCCCTCACCGCTTTTAAAGATGGCAGTTATCGTGGAATAAACGGAGGAAATCTATTACATTCTCAACCGTCAAGCCCGGACGGCGCTTGAAAATTTTAAGTCGGTGAAGCCCTTCGAGGGATTTTTCTATTTATTAATCGTAAGGGCGAGATTTAAAACGTAATCAGCTGTTCCCTGCCCTTGGCCAGCCTCATTTACATAAATTCTCTCCTAAGGTTGATATTCAAACAATTATGACCACACGACCTTTCACAATTGTTATTTATTTTCTTGTCAAAACGACCTTTCATTATTTATTTAAGAAAAAACGTACATACTCAAATCACTAAACTTAATCTTAAGTAAGGATTGTATGTTAAAAAAATAAACATATAGTTGTATAATTTAAGAAAAAAAATCAAACGAATACGATCTCACGATACTTATTCAAATATTTCGTAAGTATTACCTCCGCTTCAGTCAAATGGCGTAAGGTTTTTTTTTATCACTGACCGCCTGATAATGACGCGCTCAAATTTGCTATTTCTTAATTTTTTAAAATTGATTAAATTGTTTCAAATTGCGCTTAAGGAAGTTGACAAACCATGTGGGTGTCATTTCGGAGTGGGGAATGTAAAATCCAAAACCCAAGGGCAGCATGGATCAATACTTGTCGGATTAAGGGCCGCCTCGTTTACTTTTATTCCGCATTTCGTGCACGCATATTTTTTGTTTATAATTCTTTTTTCCTTAATTTTCCGTTGTTTTTCTTTGTTCTTGTCCTGGGGAGCGAATCGCGTAGATAATTAAACCGTAACCCAGTGTTGGGGGAGTCGGGTCGAGGGACATCTCGAAACTGACGTTTGTCAATTGAATTGCATCAACTGGAAAAAAAAGAAGCCAAAATCCCCCGAAATGCTAAGAAATTATCATAGATGAAAGTAATCTTGTGTTCAAATCTCAATACATACTTTAATTACAGTTTTGTTACATTTTATTTCAAAGAATCTTCAACTTTTGAAAGGTCAAGCGATGAAAAACATTGAACATATGCATGTTCAAAAGATGTTCCAATTTATTGTTATCTTTTGAATGTGCAAAAACCGTAACGTAAGATACATCTGGTTGCTTTAGGTCTGTTCGAATTTAGGCGCCCCCACACGAGAAAAAAATTCAAAGTATGCTTTAGTTATCTTATTTAATTCTTTTATCCTATTTAATCACAGTAGTGTTAATAAACTAATAAAGACTAAATTTAACATTTTCACACAGTGTTGACATGGTTTTCATTCAGAAGTCGTTTCCAACTTCTTGTCTTCCCAATACCATAAAAGTTACCAGTTATCACCCTTGAAAGGAAGTTCAATCTTTGCAGGTTCATGAGACGTAAAAGATGTTCAACTTTATATCTTTTGAATGTGCAAAAACCTTAACGAAAGATACCTCGGGTTGTTTTAGATCTTTCCGAATTTAGGCGCCCTCACCAGAAAAAAAGTATACTAAAGTTAACCTATTTAATTATTTTTGTATTATTTAATTACAGTAGTGTTTATAAACTAATAAAGACTAAATTTAACATTTTCAAACAGTATTGACAAGATTTTCACTCAATCGTTTCCAACTTCTTGTATTCTCAATACCATAAAAGTTACCAGTTGTCACCTTGAAAGGATGTTCAATCTTTGCAGGCTGATGAGACGTAAAAGAAGTTTAACTTTATATCTTTTGAATGTGCAAAAACCTTATCGTAAGATATCTCTGGTTGCTTTATATCTGTTCGAATTTAGGCGCCCCCCAGCAGAAAAAAATTCAAACGTGTACTTTAGTTATCCTATTTAATTATTTTTGTCTTATTTAATTACAGTAGTGTGTATAAACTAATAAAGACTAAATTTAACATTTTCAAACAGTATAGACATAGTTTTCATTCAAAAGTCGTTTTCCTATTTCTTCTTAATCCATAACATAAAAGTGACTGTAGATTTGGAAAACTAGAAAATATAAAAAAAAACTGTTGTAAAGTCAATGTTAAGCATTTACCCAAATGAGAACATAAAACTAAAACTAAAATGCTACAATTTTGTAAAATATTCCACAAAAACCCGTGGAATTTGAAGTAATCTTAATTAATCAACAGTTTCTTCTCAAAGCGTTCTTTAATTGTCATTTTGTTTACTTTTATTTAAATTCATTTAACTAATGTTAAACATTTGTATGTTCAAAAAATGTAAAAGATGTTCAACTTTGCATGTTAAAAAAGTATGATTCCTCTAGTTGTTTTGAACTGTTCGAATTTAGGCGCCCCCACCAGAAAAAAATTCCAACCTGTATACTTTAGTTATCTTGTTTAATTACTTTTGTATTATTTAATTACAGTGGTGTTTATTCAATAATAAAGATTAAATTTAATATTTTCAAACTATGGTTTTCAACGCCGTTTCCTATTTCTTTTCTATTAACGTAATATAAAAAGTTACTGTTGATTTGTAAAAGTAGAAAATATAGAAGAAAAACCGTTGAAAAGTCAAGGTTAAACAATTATTCCAAGTGAGAGCATTAAACTGAAAGTAAAATGCTACCATTTTGTAAAATATTCTAATCAACAGTTTTTCTTCATTGATTAACATTTAATTCATTAACAGTTAATTCTTTACTTATCGTTTTGTTTCCTTTTATTTTAATTTATTTTAAACCAATGTTCAACTTCGAAACGTTCAAGAGATGTAATGGATGTTTAACTTTTGCATGTTCAAAAGATGTTCAACTTGATACCTTTTGAACGTGCAAAAAACTTCAGATTCCACTGGTAGTTTTAGGTTTGTTCGAATTTAGGACCCCACCAGAAAATAAATATATATGCTTTAGTTTTCTTATTTAATTCTTTTTGTAGTACTTAATACCAGTGGTATTCCAAATTAATAAAGACTAAATATAACNTCAAAAGATGTCCAACTTGATACCTTTTGAATGCGCAAAAAAATTGCGATTTCACTGGTTGTTTTAGGTCTTTTCGAATTTAGGACCCCACAAGAAAATAAATTAAATATATGTGCTTTAGTTTTCTTATTTAGTTCTTTTTGTGATATAAATACCAGCGGGAACGAAGACTAATTTTAACATCATGAATGTTCAACTTTTGCACTTCAACTTTGAAACGTTCTAGATATAAAAGATTGTCAACTTTTTGTCTTTTTTTCAAGTTCAAAAGATGTTCAATTTTACATATTTTGAATGTCAAAAATAAGATTCTGTTGGCTGTTTTATGCCTTTCGAATTTAGGCGCCTCCAGCAGAAAAATTAAAAAATGCGTGCTTTAAACATCTCATTTAGTTTTTTTGTATTTTTATTTACAGTGGGTTTTTGTTTACAGTTTATAGACTAATATAGATTAACTTTAACATTTTTAAACAGTATTGACATGATCACTCTTTGCTCGTTCAAGAGGTGTGAAAGATGTTCAGGTTTATGTCTCTTGAATGTGCAAAAAACGTAAAATTCGTCTGGTTGTTTTAGGTTTATTCAAATTTAGGCGCCTCAACCATAAAAAAACCAAACATGATTTAGTGTTCTTATTTAGTTATTTTAGTGTGATTCATTTATGCTGATGTTTTGTCCAAATAAAGAATAAATTTTACATTTTCAAACAATATTAACATGACTGTAGATTAAAACATTGAAGAAAAACAACTTAAAAGTTTAACAAACGTAAATTTGTGCAGTTGAATTGCATTGTGTGCAGATGGTTATAGAACTATTTTTTCAACTATTTATTACAGGTGATAACATAAAACTGAACATAAAGTGCAACCATTTTGTACAACTTTTGCTCTTCAAAACACGTTTAACTTTCGCACATTACAAAGATATAAAATGTGTTCAACTTTTTGCACGACAATATTTAAAACTTTTGCACGTTCAAAAGATGTAAAAGATATTTAACTTTTGAACATGGTCGTTTTAGGTCTGCTTGAATTTAGCCCTCACCATGAAAAATTAAAGCGTTAAGATTTAATTGCCTTATTTAGTTCTTTTTGTTTTATTTTATTATAGTAATGTTTATGAAATAGACGATTCTGAATTTCGCATTTTCGAACAATATTGACACGATTTTCACACTTTAGCCCTAAAACCTTTTTGTTTTCTTTTATATCGTTCAATGGAACGAATGTTCAACTTTTGCGCGTTCAAAATTCGGTGGCCGCAACGGTTTAGGCGTTGACACGGCGTTCATCACTGTAAGGTAAAGGTCCCGGGTTCGAATCCAGCGGCCCTGCATTCAATGGGCTTTTTCTCAAAACACCGGCACCCTGAGGGTTTATATGACCTCTGCTGTTGCGAGCTCTCGTTTAAAAAATAAATAAATAATAATTGCACCTGCTAAAGTTATTTAACCAATTCCATTGTTGATCTTTCTTCTTCTCACGATTTTCATTCAATCATAGTCAACTTGACGTTTTTCTTTATAAATAACATTGAAAGTAAAAGTGATTAAACATAAAGTACAAAACTGAGGTGGATTATCGAACAAAAACATGCCAACTAGTTGTATTTGACGTTTGCATTTAACCAGTAGATATAAAATGGAAAATATATTTTCTTCCCTTCAATGAACCCTTGGAAAAAGAGAAAACAATATTAAGAAATTCATTTTTTTATGGCTAAAATTGCCCTATTTTCGTATTCAAATTGTATATAATGGAACATAATAAAATCAGGCAGACTGTTAATTATTCAAAGGTTTTCGTTGAATACTTTCATCAATTTATTGGTTATTTTATGGGTTTTATTTTCCTATTGTGTGCATACCAAAAAAATCAGATTGGGTTAACTATAAAAATATGGAACAAATGATACTAGAGAAATTTAAAACACTAAAAAATAATTGACAAATATTTATCTTGTTGGTTATTAAAAATGTTCATTATTTGTTCGTGTTAG